TGCTTCTAATATAATCCAAAATTTGTTTTTACAATTTGCTATTGATGTCAGAAAATTTTCTATTGATTTTAATTACTTATCTTTATCTCTTTTTTACATTTCATTAATTTTATATATTTTTCTCAGTTTTTTAAATACACAAATAAGTTGAGAGCTGGCAATTTGCTTACTGAGGTCAGAAAATTTTCGATTGATTTTAATTGCTTATCTTTATCTCTTTTTTACATTTCATTAATTTTATACATTGTTCCCAGTTTTTTTAATACACAAATAAATTTAGAGCTGGCAAAGGATGGTGCCCTTCATATAAGAACAAATCAAGAGTCTGTACTTTTTAACTTTGATTGAAAATGTTCCACAACATATTTCCAAATAGCAGTTAAAATGCCATATTCAAGCTTTATTAAATATGCCACTCCCATTAACAACAACAACAACAAACTCCTTATGGTACATTTATAATTGTATAAGCTGTCTTGTTGACTTCATTCTTGGCAGGAGGGAACACTGTTTTGATGAGACATAACAAGAACTGAATCCTCTGCTTATAATTTTACATGTGCGACGATCTGAAGAATTTTCAGAGATTAGCTTCCAGGGCCGTATACTTCAAACATTGCTTCTCTTCTGCCACCCACATAGATTTGGTGGCTGGCAGTGTAGGAATGTTCATGTCTCAGTACAATGTACCTTGTCAGGTGAGTTAGCACAGTGGACAGTAGGAATATTCCTGGAAGCCATATAACTAGCAGTAATATGACTCTCGACAGAAGTGATTGCAAACCACACACATATATCCCAATATATAATATATCTCTGAACAAACCTTCCTTCCCAAGGTCCCCCAAATGCCCACCGCCACTTCAACATCACCAGACATGAAGGGACTGGGGGGAAGTCGCGGTGAAAAGAGACAGTGGTCTTAACCATTTACGCTTAAAATATCCCACTTTTGCAAATTTTATTACAACCTATCACCACGTGAACACTTTGCTAGGGCCCCTCTAGGCCTTGGAAGGGGTCTGTGCAAGTGAGGGGCCTTGAGGCTTCTGATCATTGACTTCCTGGCAAATTTGCCTCAGCCTCTATCGCTGTCAACGTCTTCCAAACCCTCACTCCTGTTTCTTCCTCACCCTTTCAGTCTGTCCTTTACACAGTGCCCAAAGTGATCCTGTAAAAACTTAAGTCAGGTCACGTCACACCTCTGCTCAAAAGCCTGCAACGTTCTCCCATCTCACTTTGAGTAAAAGCCAATAATAGTTCAGATGGCTCTGCAGGACCTGGCCCTTTGCCTTCTGATCTCACCTCTTGGTATCCAGCCCTTCCTCACTCCGCTCCAGCCATATGAGTCTCCTGCAGTTTCTGGAATGGCTAGGCACACTTCCCTGGGGCTCTTGCATTTGCTGTTCTTGCAGCCTGGACCATTGCTCCTGGACTGTTCACATGACTCCCTCTCTCACCTCCTTCAGGTAAAGCTTGCTTGACCTCCCTATTTAAAATTGTACTCTGCTTTCCCCTCTACTACTCTCTATTTCTCGACCCTGCTTTATATTTCTCCATATCATCATCTAAATACTTTTGCCTATCGTCTGTCTCCCTCCTCTAGAATGTGAGCTCCAGGAGGTGCGGATCTGCAGCACCCCAGTGCCTAGAACAGTGCCTGAGACAATGCCAGACTGTAGCAAACGCAGGGGTCTCTGCCTTAAACTTTCCTTTCTCTAGCCCCAGCAGAAGCCCACAGGACCACCTCCTGAGAAAGAGCAGTGTAAGTGCCTTTCCTGGAAGGCCAGTTTCCCTAAAAGAAAAAAATAAAGGTGAAATAGTGGCAAGGTTTCTAGCATTTGAGCAACTCGTTTTTATAAATAACCGTCTTCTTGTGAAGTGAATCATCAGAGGATTTGATCACTGAGCTATAAACCTCCTACACCTCCTCTCCCTGCCTCCAAAGATGTAATCCAGGGTCATTGCGGTAGTAATAGGAAATTGCCAAATCCTCTAATATAATTTCTCTTCCCAGTTCAAAGGAAAAAAATACAAATAAAAAGATAAGTAGAAGAAGAAAAGAAGACATTTGGAATGTTTGTTCTTGCTTATCTTTTCTTCATTTTCATTTTTCTTCCTCCTTTGACTTAAGGAGAATAAAATGAGCCAGCAAATATTACAAAAAAGTAGAAAACAGGCTGTTATTAGAGCATCCTACTTGGTCAGAGAGGTGCTGGCATTCTGGTGTGACAAACGAGCTCAGGGTCAGGGAAGGCAATATCACTTGTAAATATAAAATGTTTTAACATTATAAAACCATTTTTCAAAAAGTTTAAAAAGACAAGCAAAAGTAATTATTTATAATCCCACCACCAAGACAAAGAAGCTAGCCCTTTTGTGTATTCTTTTCCAATTTTTTCTCATATGCACACACTTTTTCATTGTGGTATAAAAAACACAACATAAAATTTACCATCTTAACCATTTTTAAGTGTGCAGTACAGTAATGTTATGCACACATTTTTATACGTTATACTTGTACTTTTTGTATCCTGATTTTTTTCTCACTTTGCTTCATATTAAATAAATCTTCCATGTGGCAAATTTGTCTGCCATATAATTTTAAAGATTCATAATATTCTACCCCATGGCTATAACATATTTTATTTAGCCATTCACCTATAATTGGAAATTTATGTTGCTTACAATTTTTCACTCAAAAATATTATTATGAACTTTTAATGCATATAGTATTTTTTTCTCTTTAGTATTTTCAATGATCTTCCTAGGATGACTTTCTGGAAGTTTTCTAGGGAAAACTCAGTAAAACGTGATTAGTCTTGCATGGTTCTTGAAAGTTACAATAAAATTGCTTTCCATTAGGTTTGTACCAACTTACAATGATGCCAGTGAAATATGAGAGTATTAATTTCACCGTACTCTCACCAGCATTTGATACAACTTTTTATTTTGCTAATTTAATATTTTAAAACGTTTCTTATTTTAATATGTATTTTTCCTCTATTTATTTTCCTTGATTATTTCCTCTGTTGGGAAATGCCAGTTCATGTCACTTGTTCAGTTTACCTTTGGGAGATTGTCTCAATATTTTTCTTATTCCTTTTCATGGGCTTATATATAATAGAGATTTTAACTCTTTGTCATATTTACTGTGAATATTTTTCCCAATCTATACATTTTTAATTTCTGGTCATACTGTCATCTAAAACAATTTAACATTCTTTTTAAATTCAGATCTTTCCAATGTGATTTCTTCTATCACATGTCATCTTAGAAAATTCTATCCATTTTGTCTTATCCCCAGGGCTTTAATAAAGGATTTAATTCTGCTTTATCTCCCTAATTTTATTTTCTATGTCTAATTATTTAATCCATTCACTTTGATGTATGCTATGTAGGTCAAACTGATCTGTTCCTTAAGTGGTAACTAGCTAACCAAGACTCTTCCTTTAAATATATTTGAAGAAACCCTTGAATAACTAAGACAGCAGGCCAATGCCTATATGAAGAGTTCTTGTGTGTTGGGGCGAGGGTTCAGGCTCCCTGAGGAGTGAGGTGGAAGGTACAGCCCCAGAGGACTTGGAATGCGGTGTGGCTCAGTGAGAACAGGAAAGTAGCAATAACCAAAATGCGGTGTGGGAGTGCACCTAAATGTCCGCTGTGTTTTTACCTTGCCCTTTCCACTCATAAACAACATTGCGGAGGGAAAGCACTTCTGAAAATTCAAGACTACCTGACCCAGAGGTCTCCCTATCTTGTTAAGAGTCCTGTTAAGTTTCCAAGAATGAGGGCTATCAGTCGACCTGCTGCCATAAATTTACTGAGCACTTGTGTGTGGAGGGCTGTGCTGGGCACATAGGGGTGCCTGCGTGGCCCCGCGGGCAACCAAGAGTTATGATGAGTGATGAAAAGGACAAGAGAGATGAGAAGAGAAATCTAGGCAGATAACCGAGTGTAGAGATAGCTCCCCTGTGCAGCGTTGGCGGTGTGGGGTACGGCACTGTCGCTTAAAGTGCTGCGCCCACCCTCTGTCCTCCGGCTGCCTAGAACCTGCACTCTCCTCTCGGTTGTCTGGCTGAAGCCCCTGCTCACACAGACAAGAATCTCCACTTGCTTTCCTGCCCTCTGCCCGGCAGCCAAGTTCACGCAAGCTGCTTTTCAAAGGTTTTGCTAGGGTCTTAAATCTTGGCAGAGAGCCACGTGCACTAGACTGGGAGTCCGAAGTGCCCGAGCCGCATCCCCGCTGCTGCCCGCGAGCCTGAAGGCTTAAGCGACCGCACTCGAAAGGCACGTCTGATCTCCTGGTCTTGGTTCTCACCCTCCCACCCAGGTTCGCGGTTATCTTTCTTTGCCCGTGTTCACAGTATGCAGACCACAAACCCGTAACCGCTCGTTGTTTCTCTGCTGGGACCACGTAACAACACTGCTTGACTTGGCATCTTGTAACTGACAGGTAGGTGGACAGGAAAGCGCAGTCCCTTTAACCCGTCCCCAGTTTGGCGTGAAGTCACGCATCTGCCACTTGAATCTTGAAAAACAGAAAGGATCTGGCCCCTTTAACATTAGCATGGCGAGTCCAGATTCCCGAACCCGTCAATAGTGACTTGCACCGTGGCAGATTCGCTCTCAGGGAAGCCCGGTCACTGTTTCTCTCCCGGACAACCTCCTCCTCCCCACCCTCCACCGAGGGAATTCACCCTGGCGGCCCCAGGGTGCTCCCACCTTGCTCCCTCCCACAGCCCGGCGGGACCGGTGAAGGCAGAGCAGGTGCTCCCCGCAGAAAGGCCCTGGGGCGCCCGTGGCTCTCAGGGTGCGCAGTGGGACTCGGTAAAGCCGGCTGCCCCCTGCCCTGGCCTGAGCCTCCCGGGCGGGAAGACCGAGGGCCTCGGAAGGAGTGAGAGTGGCGCCGGGATGACTGATCCGCGCGGAGAAAGTCCCCCGAAACCGTGACCCCTGCGCTGGGGGGAGGCGGGGCTGATGCTCAGGAAGATGCCGTGATGGGACCCGGGGAAAAACCACCAACCCCAAACCACCCACTTGTGTTTCTCAAGCTGAGTTCTCCGACAGCGGCTGAAAGACCCCAAAAGTTGCGCCGCGCCTCCCGGACCTGCGCCCGCCCCAGCGTCGCCTCTTGTGGGTGGGCTTCACGTTGCCTCCAGGGTTTCGGAGCCACCACGTGACTTCCACGAAGAGAGGGGCCCCAGCGGAAAGCCGCGACAGGGGTGGGATTTGGGACCCCGAAGCGCGGCGAAAGGGCGGGGAGAGGAGGAAATGAGGCGGAGGTGGGAGAAGGAGGGGGCGGGGCAGACTTGGGGACGGGAAGGACGGCGGGCCGGGAGCAGAGGGGGCCACTCGGGCTCCGGCAGCG